TATCGCCCTGTCAGTCTGACAAGTGTTGTTTGTAAGCTAATGGAATCTGTTGTGAGGGATAGGATTATTGATCACTTGACTGCTCATCATCTCATATCAGATTGTCAACATGGTTTTATTGCCGGTAGATCCTGCACCACTAACTTATTATCTACGTTGAAAGATTGGACTCGCCTGCTAGACGAAAGGGAGCCAATGGATGCATTGTACCTCGATTTTGCCAAAGCATTTGACAGTGTTCCGCATAAGCGGCTGTTGCGTAAAGTGAAGTCTTCGGGAATTGAGGGAAACGTACTCCAATGGATCAGAGATTTTCTAGTAGGTAGACGACAGCGTGTCAGTATTAACGGAACCGTGTCAGACTGGACATCAGTGCGCAGTGGCGTGCCACAAGAAAGCGTTCTTGGGCCTATTTTGTTCGATGCTTTTATAAACGATTTGCCAGAAGCAGTGTCCTGCGTGTGCTCCATGTATGCCGACGACACAAAAGTTTATAATACAGTGAAGAATGCGTCGAATAAAGCGCAATTACAAGATGATCTTGACAGTTTAGTTAAGTGGGCTGATACGTGGCAGCTGCGGTTTAATGCTGACAAGTGTAAAGTACTTCACCTCGGGAAGAACATTGAACAGCAAGATTACAGTATGAGAAGACATGGTTGCAACAAGAGAGTAATGATTGAAAAGTCTAGTGTGGAAAAAGATCTCGGAGTTTATGTGAAAAAGGAGCTGAAATTTTCTAAGCATGTTGAAACGCAAGCGGACACATTCAACAAACTTCTTGGACTTATCTGACGCACATGCGTGTTCCTAGATGCAGAAGCGATGAAGCAGTTGTGTGTTTGGAAATCTAGATTTTGGAAACGTTGTGCGGTCACCAAGATTTGAAAAGGACAGAAATTTAATAGAGAAGGTTCAAAGATGTGCAACAAGGATAATTCCAGGCTTGAAGGTCAAGTTCTATGAAGAAAAATTGAAGATTATGAAGCTTCCAAGCCTCAGTTATCGACGTCTGCGTGGGGACCTCATTGAAGTATACAGGTATACTCATGATTTATACAAGGTCCCCGAAGGAATACTAGAATATGAAACAAGAACCAACACCAGGGGCCACGGCTATAAACTAAAAAACTGGGCTGCAACTTCTCCACGCGACAAAATTTCTTCTCGTTTCGAATCACCGACATGTGGAACAGCCACCCCGATGACATCATTGGCGCTCCAAGTGTGAACGCGTTCAAGAACAGACTAGATAAAGCTAAAAATATATGTTCAGATTTGAAATGCCTAGCACCATATCGAACCCGGTGGAAGTCTAGTAGGTGCTTCAAACTATCGTCAGTCATGAAAAGATCCGGTCATATGACACGATTTTAGATCTTTCTGTGAACAAGGCACGAAAAGGAAAAGAATCGGCGATAGGCCACATCAGGCCTACACTTCAGCGCCGAGATCACTATGTTATGTTATGTTATAATTTATAATTAACCAAGATGGCATTACAACATGCGACGGACAATTCCGTCGCATTACGGAATTGTCCGGCGAACGTAGAGAGACTCTATGGTTGGAGCAAAGGTTGGGTTTGGCTGTGCAGAGAGGCAATGCAGCTAGCATTCTAACGGCGGTCAGGGAAAAGTTCGACGTGGGCCCGCTCCTCGCTCGCGTCACAGCTCGGTGACCCTCGGAGTCGGTGTAGGCCACCATCAGAGGCGTTAAGGTCGGGGCCCTGATCATTGACATGAAACCATTCCCTGTTTTTAATTAATAAAATCAATTCCTTTTTTTTTTTTTGTTGGAATGGTGAGTGTGGGAGGCCTTTAAAAAAAAAAAAAAAACCAAGATGGCTAGATAAATTAGTGGAACCGAAAGTTCATCATTGCCAAGTTTTGAATCGGCACCGGGAAGTCTTCACACCGCGGAGCAGACCGCTTGCAAGTAAAATATGTTCAAAAATAATCCTATACATAACTTCGGTGATCGTTTTTCGTTACGATGTGCTTCATTTCGCTGTATCTTCAGGTTTGTTACTGGAGTAAAATCGAAGTACCGGCCGTTATTTGGATTATTTTCGATGATCTAAATCTTGTAAGAAGATTTATTATTGAAGTTGTCATGAAGCTTGGCAATTTTAGAATCTCCACAAACCCAATAACAAATTCCGACGGAACTACTGGACGTAGCTACACGACAGACGTAGCGTGAAATTAGTCATTATCAAATTATATTTGATGTAACGCCATGCCTGTAAGAGGAAATAGGAAGGCTGGCGGGTCTCGCGTTTGAATGCATTGCTGCGAACACTTCAAAATATTATTGGTATTTTATGCCTGGAAATGAGGAATCAACTACAATATTTATGATGACACTATAAATCAATTTCATGCATTACAAATTGTGCTTTGTAGATACACTAGGCGTATGAATGTTGTGGGGGACCATCCAGGATTGATTATTGCGAAAAAATATAAGTTACTGCTGTATATGTGATAGAATGTTTGGTGCTCACGTAGTATGTGGGGCATCCTAAAGTGTTTGTTTTTGATGAACGGGTAAATTTTTTCGGTATTGGTGAAGTCAAAAGAATGTTTATTGCAGTAAATGGGAGAGAATGCGCGGTACTGGTGAATGTGAGAGAATGTTTTGCACACTGCATTCAGAGAATGTTAGGTACCCGGAATATGGGAGAAGATTGTTATAGGGGTGAATGGTGTAGAATGTTCTGTATTAAATAATGCGGGATAATAGTGAGCGGTGATGAGTATTAGAGGATGTAAAGGTGCTGGTGTATGATGAGGAATATTGGATTGGAACAATGTGGGAGAATGTTGAGTTCTGGTGAATGTTAGAGAATGTTTGGTTGTGGGTAATATGGAAAACTCTGGTTGAAAGTTGTATTGAATAATATTATTAAAGTTCAAATTCAGGTTTTTTCGCTATTTGCTTCGTTGTTGTCTCATCTGTCGCCGTTAGAACTGGAATTTTCAGAAGCATCGAATGTGATGAAAAGTGCCTTCCCTGCCTCTACTTGGTGGAAGAGGAGGCAGGTGTTTTTTGTCAAATAATGTGATATATGAAGAAGACTAAATGCGCGGCATAAGAGAACTTACTCCAATTGGAATGTAATTTTTAGTATAATCTCTAGGCAACCTTAAACTCAACTATAGTCCATACGACCCAAACACCTACTTGCCTTTAAATTGTTCATATCATTTGTTGTCCGTGCTTCTTACGAAATTCTAATGAAGAAAAAGCAGGGCCTCGGCTGCGATGACAACGCTGTCGAGGCAATAGGAGGGGGATTCAGACATATCACAACGAGAGAAGGGGGAGACTGTGCAAGATCCCTCCCCTGCGTAACAGATCCGCAGTCAGATTTCAATCCCTGCGAGAAGGATCACTCTCCGTGGCAGGACCAAGGCTGTTCAACGCCCTACCAAGGGATCTAAGAGAGGGGGAGTTCACCCTGGAGACCATCAAGAGACAGCTAGACGTGTTCCTGAGCACAATCCCAGATCGACCTCCCCTGCAACACTACCAGCGGCGAGAAGCAAGCAACAGCATCGTGCATCAGGTGGCCCAAATGAGGGCGGATGAACGATAATCAGAGGCGGCGATCCATCGTGGCCTGGGACTGCTATGTCCCAAACAAATACTAAGGATACTAAGGGATTCATCGTTTAAGAGCCCAGAGAAGAGGTCGGCGACAAGACTGGACTGATCAGGGGGGAGCCGGATGGCTTAGGAACACAACTTCTGGTCAAGTGTTCAATTGTTAAACTCTGGCTGCCTCCGCGGAGTCATGATGAGCCTCCAAGTCTCCTCTACACCTGCCGGTCCGGGATCTGTGACTTCTGCGCCCTGTACCCTGAGCCTACTGCCCTACCAACCATCGGAGCTTGTCCTACTGACCATACTCTGTAAGTCCGGCAACTTAACATGCGTAATTTATTGTCGAGGATGGTGTTTGGTTTAGGGATCATTAGCCGCTTCACGGCCTTGACTTATAATATATATGAAGAGCCGATGAAATTGATAAAACTGATTTAAGGAAAAAAGGATTGAACAGATTGATATATTTGACGAAACGGTTAATTTAATAGATTTTTACGGGTGTTAACCATGCCCCGATATTGCGCGTCCACAATGATTATGATTATCATCATCGTAAGTGCCTAATTGATTATATTTTCGTTTGAAAGGTGACGCGGGAAACTTCAACCCTGACGTCATCCACCCTACGATCCATCGGCTGTTTTCATTAAGCGAAACTTGGCGGGATTTTGCGCAGCGTTATAACCGCCCGCGGTTTTAATTTTCTACACGTACGGATATATTAAATATAATATATTTGAATGAGACTACATTTCTAATTGTCCCGCCATAAGTTTTCGTTATTTTTTCGTTTTCCCGGTTCGGTTGTTCCCGCCTTCGAAGGTATCAGATTACTAATACGCGCGCCCTTGGTCCACCTCGCAATCATCAACGAATTTACCTGATTCTAATTAGGCGCTCATTTCGTTCGGAAAAACGGAACGAAACTCTGACATAGAGCCGCTAATTAACGTTCGAAGCGAGCTTTGGACGCCTTTACATCAGATGCTGCCAGGACCGATAAACTTAACCGGCAGGGGACGCTTCACCCGCTACTTGCTGACTGAAATAATATCTTACTAATATTTTCGCATCAAAAATTTAGCAATAGCTGGACCGATTCTTCGAAATGTTTTCAATTTGTTTAATGCAGTACCATTGAGATCCAACTTTTCAGATGGACACAGCAGAGCAATAAAGTAAACTCACCTGTATGAGCAAACAGTAAGAGAGGAAGAAATTTTCGAAAAATCATATGTTCATGTAACTCACCCAGACCTCCAATATTAGGTAAAGTATTCCGAACGTAGCAGTTGTAGTCAGTGGCACCCGAATAAGTTCGGTTGAACAAGGCCGGGTACGTGGAGTTCAGCAGCAGGCACTGCCCGCTGGTGCTGTGCACGCACAGAGTTGGGTAGGGGATGCCGTCCAGAGCAGCCCGGAGTGCGCAGAGGACGTCGTTCACGCCAGAGTAGTTCTTCGATGCCACGCCAAGTGCGAGGAGCGTCTCCACCGGCACAGGGGCCGAGATGTACTTACTGGAACTGCCCAGAGTTTCCTTCACCACGACAAGCAAGCTAAACACTAGCAGTTTAATGGTCATTGTGCTTACAATTTCTGTTGTCAACGAAAACTTTCCAATCATTGGAGTATCTGAAAAGAGTGTAAGAGGCATCAGAACTCTAAACACCGATCACGTTTAAAACGGATGGAATTTTACAAATAATTTTGTGTGTGCGCGTTTCAATCTAATACTTTATATTCATGAACGTGAGATGGCTTGATAAATTTAGAAACACAAACTGCTGAGCGTGAAAAGCAGGACTGCCTTGTTCCACAATGCAGGATCATATGAAAGTCTCATTACATGTTAATTTAATTTTAATAATTTGAGCATGAAATATTTATTTAAAACGTTCACTTACGGTAAATATCACGCAGATATTTCATTCATATAAATTTCAAGCAGCAATTTAAAATAACATGTCATCAATCAATGCGGTTCCATGACAGTTTTTGGAGGTATCCCAGTCTATGTATCAAAATTTTGCATCAAGACATCTAGGTATCAAAATTAGGCATCATGACATCTAGGCATCAAAATTGGGCATCATGACATCTAGGTAACAAAATTGGGCATCATGACATCAAGGCATCAAAATTGGTCATCATGACAGTGCAGCCATAAAATTCTGCGAGTAACTGCCCGTGCTGAGGGCAAATGTTCTATTTTAGACCAACACGAGATTATTGCACTAAATACACGGCGACAAAATAGCAGCTGCGCGATTTGGTCAAGTCGAATACAAACCAAAACCGGCGATACGGAGGATGAACAACACAGTTGCGGTCATAAAAAATTATCACGCTCGAACACATGCGCCATGACTGAATGGGCACTAGTTCCATTATATAATAAGTGGCAATTTAATCCTGCGTTGCGCAGGCTTAATTCAAGCAACTCAGGTTCCCGTTTCGACCCACACAATTTTGTTAATGCCTTTCCTGCTAAATTACGTACAAAAGAACTAATTTATATATCAATTTATTATTTTGGTCCTATTTTTTCCTCAGGCCTTATAATGCCTTATTATTCTCAATTTTTTAGTGGTGGAATCGTGAGAAATTGCAAATGGGAATGGAAATTCCCATTTGCAGTTCACGCTTTCTTCAAATTGCAGTGATGATTATACATATATTGCCGAAAACACTGGATTTACCTGCTATTTAATCAATAAATTAAATTAGTGAACAGAAATAATAAAATGGTTAAATAAAGTGAGATAAGGACAGAGCGCTGGTCATATTTGCGCTGCCGTACTCACTTGCTGACTCAAGGCCACTCGTATCCATGTGTGGAGTTGGCCAGTCGTCTGGGGCTTCGTTATTGCGCAGCGTATCGCTGCCTTGAGGACTTAGTAAGATGGAAACTCTCATTAGTACACGTAGCGACCTAAGTACAAGTAGCGGCCTGAGTACACGTAGCGGCCTGAGTACAAGCAGCGACCTGAGTACACGTAGCGACCTGAGTACACGTAGCGACCTGAGTACAAGTAGCGACCTGAGTACACGTAGCGGCCGGAGTACAAGTAGCGACCTGAGTACACGTAGCGACCTGAGTACAAGTAGCGACCTGAGTACACGTAGCGGCCGGAGTACACGTTTGCGGCCTGAGTACACGTAGCGGCCTGAGTACACGTTTGCCGCCTGAGTACACGTAGCGGCTGGAGTACACGTTTGCGGCCTGAGTACATGGAGCGGCCTAAGTACACGTAGCGGCCGGAGTACACGTTTGCGGCCTGAGTACATGGAGCGGCCTGAGTACACGTAGCGACCTTAGTACACGTAGCGGCTGAGTAGATAATTGGCCTGAGTACGCGTAGCGGCAACTTGTGCCAAAAGCTGAATAATTCTATTGTTGAAGAAATCATTATTTTCTTAATTATATATATATATATAAGAATTTCGAACAATTACCGGACAAAATTGGCAACATTACTGGACAGGGGGTACAAAACCGGACAAAATCGAGTCCGGTAATTAACTCTGCAATTAGTTTGTACTTAAAAACCGGACACGAAAATAAATGAACTACATTACCGGACAACAAAAAACGCCAACCTCGTTAGGTTAGGGTTAGAGTTAGGGTTAGATGTGCCTAAAACCCTTCTTTAGGTTGCTAGAGACCGTTTTACTGAGGTTAGGTCCAGCCAGGTCAAGTTTTTTTCATATATTTTTTGCAATTTAGCAAAAAAAAATAATAAAAGTCCCGTAAAGTGGAATTATGACTCATAGAAAGAATTTCCTGAAATTCGAAAAATTCGAATAAATCAATCACTCAGTTTACAATTAAATTGTTTAAAGCTCACTTAAAGAGAAAAATCTATTTCAAATTTTTTTGAAAAGCATTGATCATTCGGCTCTACGTCCTGTATCACAGTTATTTTTAAACTGGCCCCTCTCCAGCTATTGAGGAGCGACCGGTGGGCTAGAAGTTATCTACTTTTGAGATACATGAAGAGGAGGTTCTCAAGCGCCTGGTCTCCCTGAATCCCAACAAGTCATCTGGATCAGACGGTTTCCACCCTAGATTACTCAACGAATTAGCAACCGTCCTGGCCGGCCCTTAAACAGTATTCTTTCGAAAAACCTTAATCGAAGGGACTTTGCCGGCCGACTGGAAAGAAGCCCAAGTGACACCCCTGTTTAAAAAAGGTGACAGAAAAAAACCCGGTAACTACCGTCCTGTAAGTCTCACAAATATTATGTGTAAGGTGATGGAATCGGTTGTGAGGGATAGGCAATTAAAGATTTATTCCAACCAAATTTTGCTCAAAGTTACCCATATTCTAGTAAGTCGGCGTAATTTGTTCCTACTAATGTAAGTTAAAGTCCCCAAAATTTTCGCAATTTTCTCAAATATTCTCAAACAGAAAAAAAATTATTATGCGTCCTTTAAATTAAATTTACACTTTCATATTGCAAATCAAATTTAAATTTTCAGCGCATTCCTTTAATTCTTTACCATTCTCTCGATAGGAGCGAAATTTTCAGGTCCAGGTAATAAGTATCCTTGATGCGTGTTAAAACTAACAGCGTAAACGTGCGTTGAACAAGTTCTCTTGATAAATGTAGTAAATTGACGATCATATCATAAGCCGCCGTCTTGTATCAACATTCTGCACGCATTTGCTGTATTTGTTCCGAGAGAAGTTGAATTCATTGTAAACTTTCGAAAAATATGATATAAAATGAAGTCGTTTAAATGATGGTTAAAAAATGAATTGCATTCAATTTATATCATCTTGTATAATAATTATATCTTAGATACTTCGTTATGAAGTTACATCATTCACATAATTTTCTCGATCTTTAATTTTTTAACGTAATTTAGGAAATGCAATAATTCTTCGAACGAATTCATTTTGAACCCATGCAAAAGATGGTCTCCGCGACGTTCTCATTATATGGAACCCTGCTAGAATCGCTCGGCCTTCCATAAACTTAGCTTTACGTTCTTCATGGCGTTCGACCTGCCGTATCAAACGGAATCTGAACATCGGACGTGTGAGTGCGTGTACTCGCCTACAACAGACCAGACGCAGCACCCAGCCAAGCAAGCGTTACCCACATACTATGCACCGGCCTCATTAGCCACACTATGACATGTTTATATGATCTACTGACAAATTAGTCATTTGTGTACGATAAACAAATATCTCAATAAGGCAGAGTGTGTGCACTCTGTCTTCTCCAAACATCAATCGACGAGTCGTCAATAATTCACTGGTATGACACCTTTTCAAATAAGCAAATTTGTCTTTTATCCAACGCACTCCTGGCTTCTGTAGTTCTGGATTTTTCGTATTCGCATCGCATTATTTGAATTCGTATTTGGTATGGTTATATATAAATATATATATTCTGACCTATTCGGGGTTATCATTTATAAATTTATTCCGACACATTCGTGGTTATTATCGATTTACACTTTTCCATGTGTAATAACGTGGTAGTTTGTAACTATATTCCGACCGATATATGAAAATTAAAAGAAAGAATTTCAATGAAAAGTAACAAAATGAAAAAATTAATAAAAAAACACACGTCTAAATCTGAAAAAATGAAGTTTTATTCTCAAGCTAGTCAAGTAAACGTTTACTGGTAGAACATATTCGACTTCAGATGAAAAAAATTTTTATACAACTAAAATGAAATATGTTTATAATTTAAATTATACCTGAAATTAGTTTCGAATTGCCGTCTATAATTTTAATTTTACAAAACATCACCTTATAATACTTTTTCTTAGAATTCTAAATTATCAGCGTTCTAATATTTATTATACATAGACATGACATGTTGAATTCAAAATGTAAGTCAAGTTAGATTAGGCTAGGTTCGGTTGGGTTGGAGTAGATTAGGGCCTTAGTTGGGTCTCTTTTTATAGCGAGCATGACTACGAATCAAGTCACAATCAGACATGGTTTGTTCCATAATTCGTACCAATCACCTACTCCTCTCTTTACGTCCCAGAAGTCACACATTAGCTAAGTCACCCTGCCTCACAAATAATGAGCACGTTCATAACTCATTATTAGTTAACGCGTTCATAATGTATCGAGTATCAGCGTTTCATAATAAAATATCACTTATTTACGAACTGAGCAATGAATTAATAAATGTTCAGTTTCAGCTTCGCGTTTAGTGCCAACCAAGTTTCAATTCCATACGTGGTGGATCCCAACTTATTTTGAGAAAATTTAAATACCTATCAATTTTTTACTCAAAGGACCTCGTATTTACGAACCTTCCTTTCACTTCTATAAAAAGATTGATCACTTTTAACCCTTTAGCGGGCAAGCATTGAAATATCCAGGAATTAAAATTTCAGAAACCATTTCAAGAAAGGAAGAAGTATTATACAATATATTTATTTCTATGAATTTTTACAAATTTTGCCTATTGAAGGTTTAAATCGCACTTGAAGAATTCAAAAATGCGATCAGTACACAAAATTTTTCTTTATAATTAAAATTCAGTTTATGCAAATGAAAAATTAGAAACATAAAAATTTAATTTAATTAAATTTAATCAAGTTGC